CTGAAAGCGTTGTTACTAAGCTACCGCAAACAGTTTGATATCTGTTTATATTCAATTTGCGGAATTTGATAACATTTACGATATTTTTACATTAAAATTATTTCTCATTTTTTGCTTTGTCCTTACGGTGAAAAGCCGCAGAAAATGGACTCGTCATGTTCTCGTTACGCGCGATCTGGAGCGTCGATATTACAAGCATGATCAGCGCCGCTAGGACGATGACAGGATGTTGTCGTTCAACGAGCAATGCAAAAAAAACTAGTTAGTAGCGAGATAAAGTTTTTTTCTGCATCACATCGTAGATTATAATAAAGGCAAGCTCTGGTTGGTTAAAGGATTTTTAATTCGAATGCGAATCAAGGTTACATAAGTTTCTTGCATTAGATGTATTCAGGATAAACGTATTCCGCGCGGCAGCAAAAACAGTCACAAAGTCGTTTACGACGTACTTTTCGAGATAAAACGTACTTTATTCAAAAACGAGAATAATAAATCAATCCTTTATTGCATCATTCGCAATCTTTGTCTCTTGAGCATTAGTCGCATAAACGGATTGTCCGAAAGTAGAGTCCCTTCTTTATCAGATCGCCACTTCTGTATGTGTTTCATAAGGCGACTGCTAGAAAGTCGCTATTCTGGATCTCCGCCTGCGTCACGCTGCCGAGGAATGCAGAAGGTCGACATTGAAAATCGCAATCGTCCATTGTCGCGTACGCACCGCCTACGCGTTTTTATCTCGCCGAAGCTTTCAGCCGCTTTTCATTCATCCTATTGTTTCCAATACGCGGATATAGTAGCATTTTTTTTTTGTTCTATTGCAGCAATCAATCTCGGCCAATTTGTTCGAAAGCGTGTGACTTTTGCCGACGAATTCCATCAGCGCGCAGCGCTTTTTTTTCACCTCATATTTTACACAACGTAACGAGCCGCAATATTACAAAACGTCGCACTACGAAACGAGAATATAACTGTTATACGCACGCAGGAGAAAAAGAAAACACGGCGCATATTACCGCCTCACCTTAATAATGAGCCAATTTCTTCATCAATTAATAAATCCCGCAATTCTCGACACCGCACACGCGCGCACTCGCATACGCATAATATCCGCCTTTAGAAAATGACATGTCATTACAGAATAAGACCTCGGTACTCGTACAATATAACACGCTCTCCTCGTTCGCTATTTAGCATGTCAAGAAACATTAAAGCTGGATTGATCGTTACGGAAAAGAAAGGGGTTTTCGACACGCCCTCGGAATGCCGGAATTGCCCTAATAATTATCATCACCCTTTCACGGACGAACGCTGCTGCCGCAGCTGTCGCCTGCATAAATCGTTTTTCCTTATGGCGCTGTCAGAAGCAGAAAATTTCCAACTGCGGGCGAAGAGAGACAGAGAGAGAGAGAATCTCAAATTTGAAATCGAAACGGACTGAGGGTCGGTGATGCGAATATAAAAAAAAGAAAGAGGAAAACAAAAAGAAAGGGGTTTGTGCAATGTACAAAAGCAGCGGGACGGTGAGATAAGTATCAAAAATGCTGCGGCGCGCAAGGGCTTTTATTAACGATCCGCACACGCGCTTTCTATTTCTCCGACTTAGTTTGTTTAACTCTGCGCGGGGCGACCCATTGCACGTGCATATTCTTGCTTACAGGCACTCCCTTCTTGCCTGCTGCTTTACGAATCTGTTGGCTTGATTCCGTGTAATATGCTCGCTTTTTCCCTTTATATCAATTAGGCCAGTCAGACGATTGCGGGAAGTTATCGCTTCCCCATGTACACTTCTTTCTCCATCTCTCTCCGTGGCGGCGCGATATAAAATTTAACGTGACTTTTAATGCGTCGAAAGAACCAATTGGCTTGCGCGTGATCAACAGTAATACGCGCGCACGGAGTAAGAACGTACGTTAAATATGTCAGGAGCAGCAAAGCGCAGCTTACATTCAATTTGAGTTCATTAAAACGCCAGCGTGTGCAAGGCAATTTACACGCGTTATAAGATTTGAAGCCACCCGTTGGATAAGATGCTGCTGCATAAGCACTTGTACGGCTAATCGACGCGCTGTACCGATGTCACGTCATCTCACCGATTTTCGTGCTCTTCGCCGCGATAATATTCCACAACACACGTAATCATTTTTCGATGAACGTAATGTCGATCACATCGAGTCTAAAAGTATACTATTCGATTGTTTCGGTGAAATATCGTTAAATTTTATCGTGCTCTAGAGGCACTAATTGGCTGTGTGAGAACCGCTGGCGATCGATCGATACAAAGTGACAGGCCGCTTACACAAAGTGTGTAGGCCCCGCAAATCATCGTGCGAAAACAAAGGAGATTCATCAATGGGAAAGCTCACGATTTCGCGCGCGGCACGGTAAGTTAACCTCGAATTCACGTAGGTCTAGTCGCTTTGTTATCGATCGACTCGCTTGAGCCGGAGCTCTTTTTCGGTTGTTCGATATTGTTGACGTCGATCGGCTTTCACGCGAGTGTCATAATGTGGCCCCGTGAAAGTGACGGGACGATGGGCGCGCGTGTATGGATGGTTGCAGTACGGCGTGCGTTACTTTGTGGACGACTGTCGATCTATACGATACTAGAATTTATTCTCAAGGCATTTTTGTTGCTCGAAAGATTAATTTCCAGTTAGTTTCTAATAACCCATATGAAATATCATTTCCAAAGAGCGGATTTCGTTCGAAGAAAGTTGATTTTCGTTGACTTTATGTAGAAAAACAATCTTTTATTATTTATCAAGATATAATATAGGTGGGAACTGCTTGATGCAGCTCTCATAAATACTCCATAAAACTGAACAGTGCCCAACAATAGTATAATTCTATCAAGCAATATTCCCCATGGCTGCGAATGCTGCTTTGCATTAAGAATAGAATGTATGATGAGCCGCACCGAAAGCCGTAACCGTCGCTCGGACTACAACTGGTGCCAGCGCTTTTGCCGCTCGTCATCTTGGTATATTTCAAAATTCGAACGACATCAACCGGCAAAACACCTATGTGCGATTCCTTACGCAACTTGGCCGTCGGGGATGTACACGCAACGCTGGAGTCCCCCGCGTTGCACGTGCGTTCTACAGCGGCACTTGCGAACGATGTTTCAAACGTTCGACGTGGACCGCGATTGCGACGGTTTCGCGTGGCTTGACTTCCGAGTGAACATCGCTAACGGCGCTCGGCCTCGGAACCGAACCGGATATGCGTGCACGCGCACGAAGAGTGAAAACTTTCTTTGAAAACCAGAAAGGCAAGGGTAAAGAAAAGAAGTGCGAACGTCTCGAGGTCGGCCTTTCCGCGCGCTAATTGCCTCTGCTGCAACGTGCATTACATCCGCGTTCAATGCCTTTTAATTCCTTGACAGGCTTTTGACACTTGTTCACCTGGCTATTGTTCGAGTTTTATCGCCTCACATTGTGCCATGTTTTGCGCTTTGCTAAATATTTAATACGCAGTATGAAAGGATTACGCTGCGCCTGCTAAAGTTTCCTAACGGTCGCGGTCCCTCCCTCCCTCCCTCCCTCCCTCGCCCTCTCCCTCTCGCACTCGATCCCCGTTTCCTTTCACGGTTTCCCGAACAATTACACTCTGTCGACGTATTCAATGTAGCTCGGCCGTCGGCTCGCGAGACAAAACGCAAAAGAAAAACTAGAACTCCTCGGCATCCGTTCGCGAGGTAAAATGTGCGCGCCTTTCAAAACGGCAACGTACGACGCTAGTTTTCGATTCGCCGGATGCGCTGCTACGAATGCCGGAAACGATCGAACCAACCTTCTAAGTTCTATAGTGGGCATTATCACAGCGAGTAATCCTTATCAGTTCGGAAACTTTCTTAGACGTGATCCCGCGATCATGATAGACGGTATTACAATTTGATGATGCTTCGAGTCCATTGAGGCCAAGAATGGACAATCATTTTGCACGTTTTTTGTGATTGTTGGTTTTTTTTGCCCGAAAGACGTCTGAATGCACGCCTTTTTCGTTACCTCCCTTTCGTTCATCGTTTTGGGGTGGTAGCTGAGAAAAAAAAATTCTTCACGGTTGATTTGAGTCGATTCGTCGGTTGAGTTCAGGGAATTCGTATTTTTCATTGGAATTACGATTTCGCATCGACGAAACTTTTGTTCGTCCTTGAGAAGGCTTGCGATTTCCGAAAACAACTTTTGATTCGAGATCAAATGTAAAACTAGCGACCCACCCAATCGTACAAATATGAGAAAATGTATGAGGATTCGAAGATTTGCCATTTTTTATTAGATTTTGTCATCACTGTGTGCGTGTATTTGTTATCTCAGAGTCCAATTTCAACCTAATTTTTTAACTATCTCTCTTCCCCCCCCCCTCTCTGTAATCTCGAAAACACACAACAATCAATTTTTTTTTCTCGTGTTCTGTCAGTAGCCCCAGCTTTATCCCCTTATAACTCATCTTGTCGCTTTCCAATTTTCCGCGTGTTTCCGCACGCCGGAGTTTCACAAGGCGTGAGAATAGAGGCACGGAAGTTTTTTCATTGTGACACGGCCTACTTTGCACCTAATTTTTTCCACAAAATTTTTTAGAAACCACGTGAACTCGTAAAGTAAAAATTGAAAAGGGCAATAAATTTCTCAGGAGACAGCTCCTTTCTTTTTTTTTATCGAAGAGTTAAGTTTTCCCTTTTTTGCCCCATCAAAAGTAAACATAATTCAAGAGAAATTAAGGAGTGCGTAGCCCGATGGATTTGAACAAAATGCAAGCTACGTGTTTTTTTTTATAGCCAAAAAAATGTCAGTTTGCTAGAATGCTTTTGTTCCCTCAAGATACACACGATGGATAATGATCTAGCTAAATACGATGAGCTAGAGTTTTTTTTTATTTTCCACAAGTACATTCGCGCGTCACTAGCTCTGAGAATAAGCTAACCTAATTAATTATACGCTACATACATGCTTTGGAATTACGAAAAGAGGAACTAACACATATACCTTCACCTGTTTCAGACACTTCATACGAGAAGGCATGCAGAAGAGGCAGTGCTCCAGCCACCCCCGTGCTCGGTGCCCGACCACTCGACGTCACCCCCAATCGTATTGTCGTAAGTACATACTTCCCGTTTCTCCAAATGCAGCAGCTGCCGTAGCTTTAGTGCGGAAAAATCGTTTAGCTGAGTTAATTACTCGACGAAAATCCGATGTTTATCTTTTCCTGATGTCTGTGTTATTCTCCCTCGCGGCCGATTTACGATTTCATTAGGAAATTCAATTTGCGGGAGGCTTTGAGTAAGTGTGAGAGTTGTATGTTGCTCAAGCGTCAGTTTTATTGTAAGAGAATACTTGTTTATTCGTCGAAGTGAATCATGGAGGTCGAACAATTGTATTACTGCTGTTTTATCTTAACACCTTTTATCGACACCTTGTGTCGACGTACGGATTTCACTTTGTAATTAAACATTCGTATCGAGCAAAGCAAAAATCACCGTTGCAAAATAACGGCCTTCGAAATTTTACCTGCTAAAAGGACCACCAGAGTCGCTGTCATCGAATAATAGTTCCGGTCGTCAGTAAAAGATGAGGAAGGAAGCTATAATCTCGTTACGCAAAAATCGCTTCGAAGCGAGGAAAAGCTGTCGATCCTTCATCAAACCCAAAAAATTTTCCTTGTATCCGGCCAATTAGCATGGTGCGCGTGCGCGCGTGGCTGCGTCGACAATAGGAGAGGGAAAAGCCGGTGGCGGGCACGAGAAAACGCGGGCTATTCTCTCGTATTGTGCAAATTCACCTGGACCCCGAGGGTTCCATATCGTGTGAAAGAGAGCCAAGCCGCGCCTGCAGCCGAGTAGACGAACGAGGTTGCTCTTTCTCTCTCGCAACGGGAAAACGGTCACAATATTTTATTGGGACACTTCAACGTTTATACATATTTCTCTCTCGGTGGTCAGTTTTTTTTCTTTTCTTTTTTTTTTTTTCATGATGAACGGAATAATGTTTTGAGTGATGTTACGTTATGAATTTAGATTGAGCAAGTTTTGACGTAGCGAACGCATTTTTCAGAAAGTCTATACGTAGCATCGCCTGCGGTGTCGAAGCACATATTACTATGCAGCGGCACGTCGATACTAGCGCTGTTGCTCATGAATACGAGTGAGCTCGCAGCCCTTCAGACGAACTTGTTTATCGCAACAACTTTATTTCAGCAAGCCCGAAATACAATTTTTATCTGTCAACGGTATTTTTTATTGATCGATCTCAAAGAGAAAACGTAACTTAAGGACAAACTGTTGGTGTGTTTGTCTTGCAGCCAACATATATTGTCGTCCCGATCACGAGTCACACATCGTTCAAGTTGTAGTCAATTTGGTAGAACAATTGTTGCACGTTGATGCGCGTACTTCGTCCATTCCATTTGCGATACAGTCGTGGTTCGAGCTTGGAGACGTGAGATTGGTGCTGAGGCTACCTGTTGACACCAGAGATTGAAGTGCGAAGTAAAATTATTATTGGAATGAACTTGAATTGGTCCGCTTGTTATTTTTACTATAACGTTGGTATTTTTATCAAACGATAACACGCTCATATGCAGTTTGCGTTGTAGCTTACGACGCAAAACTTGATGAATAAAATTTGCATGCGTAACAACCCGTTCGCCGCGTCTTTATTTGCGCATTGAAAAATCATAGCGAAACAGCAGAGAGAGGGAGTGAGAGAGAGAGAGAGAGAGTGAGTCCGAGAGCAAATTATTAATATCACAATAGGGATCGAATGCAACCGGTTCACAACGACCCAACCGTAAGGGGTGATTTTTCATTTTACCTTCATGGGGTGAATGATTGATTGCTGATACATACACTCAACGCATGCACGCAGCGGTTCGCCGTAAGAAAAAGTTGAGATTTCTTATCGACGATGCACATTCGATCCAACGTCGTGCAGGTGATTTTTCTCAAGATCGATATGGCTTACGTGTACGTCTGGTGAAAATAGTTGGTCAGGACGGCGGGAGACAAAAGTATGTATATATATATATATATACGTAGATGTCTCTCTCAGTCTCTCAGCAGTTTCGCAGTTGAATATTCATCAGGAAGCTGACAGTGGGGAGTGGGTTCGTTGTACTTCGAAGCTTTTCGGTCGATATACCCTCGGCTTTAATTAGAGCGCGCGTCGCGATGCCAGTGTGCCTAATAAAGTATAGCGCAGATGAGAGCTCAGTCGTCCTTCGGATCTCGCGCGGAACGGACGGCGTCGTCAATATTTCGGACAAATAGCAGCGACGACAAGGTAAACAATCCTCTTTTTCTTTCCCGCGCGTTATTCTTTCGGTTGAAAAATCGCCGCTGTCACCGCCGGAAATTAGCCACGCTGCTGCATGGGAAGTTTCACGGTTGCGCACTGCAGTCGCGTTCCTCGCTGTGGTTTTCTCGCGTTGCCGCGTAACATCGATGACGCAACGCGCGCTCCAAAGGAACACGCGAGCGCGCTAGTTTCGCACACCGAAAACTCTCTTGACGACGTTCGCGTGCAAAGGAGTTGTACGTTTGTTGCATTTAGCGGTTCAAGTCACATACGCGCGCCTCGGTAGACGCATTTCCGAGTAAATATTGCGGGGATTCGACCGGCGGAGCAAGAGAGCGGAAATGCATTCTTTCAGTCCGCGCACATCTCTCTCCGCCTCTCGGCGTTGTTTCCTGCCCTCGCTGCCTTCGACCTTCAGGGATTTTCGTCTGTCGGCTCACGTCTCTTCCGATCCCAGATAAAATCGCCGGAAGTCGCGCGCTACGGCAAGTGATTACTCCTGGCGCTACACTCGGATTAAATGCTCAAGTCTCTCTCTCTCTCTCCCTCCCTTACAAAGCTAAGAAAAGAACAGTTTGTCGATCCTATCGTATTACCTGCGATCGCCCCTCGGCGTGCATCTCGCCATATATATTTTACTGCGCTCGCATACTTTTATTGCCTCTGATCGTCCGTCATCCGAGAGTACTTAATTTTCTGATTGGTATTTGGATAGAGAGGCGAGAACCGATACCTTTTTCGAAATCTTCCGTTGGTATTCACCTAGCTTCTTATATGCACATGCGAAATTCTTTGAGCTGCCTTTCGAAGACAAGTCAAAAGTCTCTGTCAGTGATCCTTCAAAAGGAGGGACGACTAATCGCTGATTTTGGCGGTTGGGCGACACAAAAAACAAGAAGAGAAAAAAAGGCTCGCGAAAAAACAAAAGGGGCTGCAGGAGTCTTCGCGAACTGGTTTCTGCCAACGATCGTCTTTGGATCTTCTTTGGGTTGAGCAGTTGCTCTCTGCTGAATTGTTCTATATATGGGGATGAGGTGTGTCCTCGTGCATGGGTTTGTTTTCTCCTTCATTACTTATTTGCATATTACACTTCTTTCAAGGCAAACGCAAAATGTTACTCTAGTACACTGTTCGATTCGATATTCCATCTTATATTTATAAAAAATACATTGTTAATAACGTCTTTTTAATTGTTGGTCTGTGCGTAGTAGCAAAAAATGTCGCTGACTGATTATTGAAAAGCAATGAAAAAAAAATTGATCGACCGTGACAGGACTCGAACCTGCAATCCCCGGATTCGAAGTCCGATGCCTTATCCATTAGGCCACACGGCCGGTTGAAATTCTGCGCTCTAAGCGTCTGTGTAGAGTTATGCGTGCTAAACATCACATCATACGCCATTTTCAAATCGTCGAAATGATTTATCTCCATTCAAAATAACTATCGAACGCTATCCCTATTGATTCTTCTCAAAATTAACAAGTAAATTCAACAAAAAAGACTTTAAATGGAGAGTCCTACATTATCGGCGTTCGTCTATATTTCAATGACTCACCCACATATATACGCATTCCTTCTTATCTATTCTTTCTTCTTCATATTTACTGAACGCGCTCCCACCGATTTCATCAATAATTTGTTAAAAAAAATAACCGTTGAAAACTGTTTGATGTAAATAGCAGCGGGGCAATAATCATCAATAATACGACCATCAAATTGTAATCGTCATCGTCGTGGAGAGCCCCTGTGGAGTAGTTCGGGAAAAGCCATTTGAAAAACCGATAAGTCACCCTGTTGTGTCATATGCATATCCTCTCATAAGAGATCGAATTTTAAGGTGGAGGGTCATTGTGGTTTCCTAGTTTGAATTGTAATATTACTAAGGATAGGCGTGTGAGTATACATTTCCGATCTAACGATAAGAGCGCGTATATTGACGATAAGGTTTACTGTACGATGATTACTAAATGACACTTTTGATATACATCAGCCTCGATGTTTATGTGTGTGTGTAACTCGTCATAATATTTCAACTATACGCGTTGTAAACATTCATCGCAAAAACATCGGGGCAATAATCGTAGAAACAATGATCACAGCGGTAGCACCGAAATCGCAATTGCATCGAAATTAAAAGCCTGAGGGAGCACTTAAAGTCTCGACGTTTCGCACTACACACGAACCCTCGAGTTTTCTCTCTCTTTCTCTCGCTCTCTCTCTCTCTCTCACTCTCTTTTTGGGGCCGTTCGGTAGTATACGTTGTTTCACAATGCCCCTCGAAAAATCGAGCGAGAAACCCCTCGAAGACGTACCGTTTTTACCCCCGTCGAGAGAGCACACCTGAAGAACGAGCAGAGGTGGGGAGAGAGGAGAGGTTCTTTTTGCTTTTTCAGGCGCCCATCTGCGGCGATCAGTCGTCGTCGAGATTTCGCGCGCGTAACAGAGAGAGAGAGAGAGAGAGAGAGAAAGAGAGAGGGAGGTTGAAAATGGCGAAAAAGATCGTTACACGTCTTATGATTTTTCGTCCGCAATAATCCTTTTAAATTTTTGTAGAAAATACTTGTTGGTCGTTGGAAAAAAAAAGAATTTTAATATCGTCCCACTCCCACCACAGCTACCGCGGCGCCGCGCACCGGATACTCCGAAGGCTTTTTATACCTGCGATCGAACGCGGCCCACGTTTTTCTATCGGAAATGAATACCTGCGGCTCTCAGTTGTGCTCGTAAGGCCAAGCCGCTCGGTGTGCGCGAGAGGGCAAACGCTGAAATTCGGCGTTTGCCTCGATAAGCCAACGCGAGTGGGGAGAGGCAACGGCGACGATAAAACTGACAAAGAAGCAGTGCTTGCGTGAACGTGCGTGCGTGCGCCCGCCGTCGTTTTATTGTGCCGCGCACAGGAGGAGTGACTACTAATCCGTGTGAATTTTCAGCGATACACGCACATGGTTGATTAATAGAGCCCGCGGTGGATCAGTGCTGTTCTTTCTTTTATTTTTCGGAGCAAGGAATTCGATCAAATTTATGTTCTTTTTCATTCGCGATGCTCGCACATGAGTTGCATCCGTCGTCATTATCGGCGGCGGAGATTTAGATCGAAAAACCTATGAGGAAACGGAGGATGTGCATCGAGAATAGTAACGAGGGTAGTGACAGAGTTGTCAGCGCTGTTATCGTATTCTTTACCGGCAGGGTAAATCTCATCATTTCTCTTTATTTTTAATGTATTCGAGCGTGTTTGTCGCGTGAGTGAGTGAGAGAATTCATTTATTATGTTTCGTTATTTCTCGTCGATTTATCAATCAATTGCTTGAGCAATCGATCGATAAGATATTTCCTACGACGTATTTCTGTAAAGAAATGCAATATAAATGTCGATGCTCCCTATGGCCGTTTTTTATTTATTTATTGATTTGTTAACAGATTGCGAATTAGAATAGTTGTTTTTTTCAATCTAAACTGTTGTCATCTTAATAGTTCATAATAGGTTGATCATTACTACGAAATGGTCTCCAAAAGTATCATATATTTCGAATTGGAATTGCCCAAAGTGTGTCATATTACTTTCGCGCTCACTTCATACATGTATTGTTCACTCGATGACTGTACCTTTCACCGCGTGCAGAAGCGGCAGCCTACTCAGTCGCGGGAGTGCGTGCGCGAGAGAAAGATAATGTTTTGGTCAGCCTGTCCGCGGAGAAATTTGAGCGTACGATCGATTGGCAGCTGAAGGCAAAAGTCTTTTTCGAGTGTGTGCGACATTTTCTTTTGTTAATTTCAAATGAGAAAAGCAACACGGCCAAGAGGGGAAACAATGTAACGGAAAATAAAGTACATAACAGTAATTGTAAGTTGGCAAAAACTTTGATTGCAGAACTTCTTCTCGAAGCGATCGTTCCGATCGAATCCCTTGAAGAGGACGAAAAGCGTGACGAAGCTCGAGCGTCAAAAGCAACGAGGAGTTGGTGCTGGCGCAGCAGGACTACGCGGTTGCCGCTCGCACGAGTCGCTGCTTTGCGGCCAGGCGGTTACCTCGATGGACCTTGCTGCCGTAACGCCATTACATCCGAGCTTACTTGGCAGGCCACATTGTTTTCAAGTCGCATCGAGCAATGGCGGTCCCAAATATTTCAGCTGTCGCACTGCACACGAGCGGGAACAATGGCTCCACAGGTTGGTCGCTTATCTCATTCGTTGTTTGATCTCCCGGGTGCTTGGCGATTCCGGTAGCCAAGCTCCTTTCAACGACGAAATGCCGATCGGAAAACTTGACATTCGAAAAAAGACAGAATAGACTTATAATTAAAGTCTCTCTCTCTCTCTCTCTCTCTCTAGCATGTAAAATGAAGTATGCGTACAGCGCGCGAGATGTTATTTAAATTCTTGAATGACTTGCTCTCTCTCGGAAGACTTGTATTCTCTCTTTCTTCTCGAGAGTAATACATCTTATCTCACTTCAAATCATCGACGATGACTTTTTTTCATAACACTCTATTATGTCTCGACGGGTACGAAGATGAGCTCGCGATAGGCATTAGAAAGATAAAGGTAGACGTTACGAGTAACGGCAAAACAAAGTTCAGTGCCATAATCGATGAATGTCTGTTCAATGTCAGTCTACGCAAGTCCGTGCAGCCGGAAGCCGAGCAGACCCGTCGTACCGACAATTCGCTGCAGATTTGGTTATTGGAGGCCAAAGGCGTTGCAGCGAAGAAACGTTACTTCTGCGAGGTATGCCTCGACTCGACATTGTACGCTCGTACAACAGCCAAACTCAAGGCCGACCTGTGCTTTTGGGGCGAACGCTTCGATTTCCATCACCTGCCCGCCGTCAATACCATCCAGGTGAACCTCTACCGCGAGGCTGATCGCAAGAAGAAGCGGGACAAGAGCGTTCTCGTTGGTGAGTTATTCTATTGTATGTATTACACGCGCCGTCTACTCCTCGAAAAAGCATGCCTGAAAGGATGGGGGGGAGGGGGGGCGAGCGCGATTTATGCGCACGCGACTTCATTTTCCCGATCGGTTCGCGGATCATTGAAACAAATGCGCGAGTCTCGGAAGAGAATCGCGCGATCGCGTATTTTGAAATAATAGCCCGTGAGTTTTCAACGGCAACCCGGATTTCCGTGCGTACGTTTCAAATGGAAAGATCCTGCCCTACCGCGATCATTCATCAAAAGCTCATTCAATGCCTCGTTCGATCTACCTCGAAGGAAGGAATTTTCCGTGTATTTGTAAGAAAAGAGGCATTTGACGCATATATCTTCACTGCACGTGCCTTTTCTTCATGGCGACAAACGTGCTTAACGACTTTCTTGCAAGTCAGTCAATCCGCCTACCCCTCCATTCCTTCACCGGATTATCTTGCTTCCTCTTCTGGCGCGAATGGATTCTAGCATCATGATCGACACTCGTAAATAACCCGCTGAGAATTTTCCGTGTATATTTATAAAAGTCATTAAATCATCTCTTTGTTTTCTGCCAACCACAGGATCAGTGAACATCCCAGTGCACAACGTGACGTCGCGCTACTTGACGGAAAAATGGTACCCCGTGGTGGGCGACAAGGGTCCGCTAAAAGATCCGCCATCGTTACGAGTGAAATGCCGCTTTCAAATCGTTGACATACTACCGGTTCAAGTATATCAAGAGTTTTTGGAGTATCTGAAAACTGACTATCAGGCGCTTTGCGAAAAACTCGAGCCGGTCATTGGAGTGAAAGCCAAGGAGGATATCGCCACTGCACTTGTTGCTGTTATGCAGAGGGAGAAGAGGGCGCCACAGTTTTTGGCAGATCTCGTTATGATGGACATTCACCGAATCGGTAATTATAAAACTCAAGCTCTCTTTCGTGTGCGAGGACTGTGCATTAATCGTGCGTTCTGATTTTGTAGACGACGAAAAGCTGACATTCCGTGGCAACAGCCTGGCAACGAAGGCAATGGAAGCCTACTTGAAGCTCACGGGCGACCGTTACTTGCAAGAAACTTTGGGTCCAGTTGTGCGCGGCGTCGTGGAAGGTGGCGACTGCGAGGTCGATCCCTTGAAAGTCGCCTCGGTCGCGGCCTTACACAAGCAGCAGCAGAATCTTCGCGCTGCAGTCGAACTCGCTTGGAGCCGTATTCTCGCAAGTCACTCGCACTTTCCCATCGAGCTGAGGGAGTGCTTCCGTATATTCCGGGAGAGACTCGTTAAAATGGACAGGGAAGACATGGCTGACAATCTTATCTCTGCATCGATCTTTTTGAGATTCTTGTGCCCTGCTATTCTAAGCCCCTCGCTATTTAATATCACGCACGGTAAGTTTTCCTTTTCTGCCTTTGCTTGGACAATTCGTTTTATTATTTTCAAGTCTAACAATTGAGTAACGCAATGCTTTTCACCGTCACAGAATTCCCAAACGAAAAAGCCGGCAGGAATTTAACACTGGTGGCAAAGACGCTGCAAACTCTGGCGAACTTTACGCGTTTCCAGGGCAAAGAAAATTTCATGGAATTTATGAACGACGTGCTAGAGCGCGAGGCGCCGTCGATGAAACATTTCTTACAATTAATTAGCGTAAGTGCCGATAAAGTGGAGTCGAGTTATATAACACCTCGACGAAGTGTAATAACGTCCTCGAGCTGATATTATCAAAGTTTGTTTTATTTAATCTTAACTTAGCGCGAAGGTCAATTTAATGATAGTTTCGTAGAAACTTGTGAAAGTATGATTACAGTTTTTCGCGATTATGCAAGATTTTATAGAATAATCTTTCTTTAATATTTGAATCTGTGAAAATGCTTTCCGGATTTATAGTTTACAACATTTTTTAGTCAATGCAGACAAGTAATATAAATTTCATGAAACTAATGAAATTATATTTCTTTTTCAGTCTTCTCTACCAAAGGAAGCACCAAGCCAGTCAGTGGAATATGACGGTTACATTGACTTGGGCAAACAGTTATCTCTTCTCCACGCACTTCTTCGCGAAAGTGTTGCAGCAACATCGTCAAACTCGCCCTCACCGTCACGCTTGCCAGAAATACTCGACAGAATCTCTCACGCACTCGACCAACCAGGGCCATCACCCGTCCCATCGACACTCCGCTATCCAAATAATATATTTCGCTACAACGACCCAACAATCGCCAACAGTAATACCAACCTGTCAATCTCTGCCGCGTCAACTCTCAGCAGTAACCACAGCACTTTGAACGGCACCATCGGCGACAGTACCGAGATACTCCAAAGCAATACCCTCGGACATAATACGAATAGTGCGACGAGGAGTCCGAACGTCGTAAGAGCTGCCACGTTACCACGAAATGCTTATATGCCAGCGAACGGCAAGTTACATTTGCAGATCAATAACGACGAATACCCGTTGGAGCCGCCGGCATTTATATCAAGGTCACCAACACCGATCACGAGGCAGCAGCATTTACATCAACAACAACATCAGCGAGCGTTCGTGAACAATCGAAGTGGGCCAGGTTACAGGCTAACTACTAGCGCGAGCTTGGCCAATGTCAATCATTGCCAGACGAGTCATCCAATAAGTCCAACGAGGTCCGAAAGTCACAGCAATCTCAAAGACTCCAATTACAATATCACTGGAAGTCAGCCGAACAATAGTATGGCGCAGCATCGACATAATATTACTAGATTACAGAATCTTGATATTCATGACAGGTGCGAGGATAATTACAATCACAACAATTACAATATGACGAGGTCGGCGAGTAGGAACCATTGTCATAAGGAAGAAAATGCTAACCAGACTCATCAACAGAACTATAATAATGTGACGAAGACTACAATAAATGCAAATGGCCATGGCACCTCAAATATTACTATTAATCATCAGCCGAATAATAATTATCACAATTCAAAGACTTCGACTGGTCAGCTTGCCAATGGAAATTTGGACGAGTTGTCAGATTTGTTGAGGTATGCCGATGACGAGGTATCCGAGTCGAAGAGTCAGAAAGGTTCGCAGATCTCAATATCACAGCTCAGTAATGTTGCTTCCTCCGGATATCAAAGTTTTGCCGCGTATAGTCAAAGCTCGAGTCCCGTTGAGCTAACGACTAATAACGCCAATTCTCATATCCTCAATAATGCCCCATTAGCTTTCGCTAACCCTGTTTACCACATGGAATCGAATCACCATGGACGTAATGGTCGACGAGGTAGCACGAGTTCCGACGAGAGGGAAGGTAGCAATGGTGGTGTGGAAAATGTCAGAGGAGTTGATCTGAGTCCATCACCGCCAATGTTGGCACAGAATGCTAGAAATTTACAGAGGAATGGATTACAGTGGAGGCCAAATAACTCGGCGATAAGGCCGGGAAACAATGATCAGTCACAAAACAACGTCTGCTGCACGAAACTCAGGAGAAGGTTATCGCTTGATTCTACCAGAGATCTATCGGACACCAGTGAGGAAGAGAGTTGCACTGCGAGAAGGAGCAAATCTAGAAGTCACAGGAGTATCGATCAGGTAACATTAATAATTTACTCTGCGATATGAATATCTCTCTTTTCTGAATTTTGTGTTTTCAAAACAATTCAGGAATGGCCGACGAACAATAAAAATACTTTTCAAAATAACTTACTTGCTATTGCTAATTCAGCAAAGTCTAATTATTTTTTTTAACAATGTCCGATAACTATGGTTTTTAACGTATCTTTAATGCACTTCATCTATTCTGTTTAACCACGTCACTAACAAAAAACGTTCTGGCTTTATTCGCAATTCCAGTACGAAGTGGAAATCGAGAGGCTGCAAAGCAGCGTCGACCGTTTGCGTGCCCGACTGGGTGCCGTCGAGGATGGGGATGATATCGGACCGGACAGCAAAATGAAAAGCATCATCTCCAGGTACTAATCTTTTACCTTCGTGGATCTAATTTTTTTATTAATTGCGATGTATCATTTATGCGTTTCCTCGAGAGGTGTGAGATTTCCTTTTTATAACGACTAACCGAAGCTTTGTATTTTTGCTGCTAAAATGACTTTTGGCGATATACGTCGACACGAAGAAATTAGAATTATTCTATTTGAAATATTTTTGTAGACTGACATCATGATGTATGACATGATTCCATAGGATTTTTTTAAAACGACATATGCATATACGGTGTGGGGCAAAGCACTTAGTGCTACTATTTTTTCCTAACGTAACAGTTTTTTTTCTCAATTCAATTCTTATTCAGTAATTCGCAATCTTTTATCACATTAGTCAAAAAGTTTAAAAATGCCATTTTTCATTTGACGCGGTAATTAGCATTCGGGAGATATCGATCGGGTATAAAATAAAAAGGGAAAATGAGATTAGTTTTTGAGTTGTAGTAGTTTATTTTTCTCAAGTGGTAGTTAGATGTGTTTGAAATAATGTGTTGTAATTTTTTTTCTCTAATGACAGTACATTTATATCGTCAAAATAACTGATTGTGTCTTCCTGTGTATTCTATCGGCTGCATTAATGGTAAAACTCTGGCTTGATCTGGATCTTGGTGTAAGAGTCAAAATCTATATCTAAGCTTCATCAATTTTTTCAATTTCTCCATGTATTATCACCGTGTCTTAGCATTTTTGATTGTGTCATGGTTATTTACATTTTACATTATATATAGTTCGTTGTATCTTGGTTTATCATTTGTTATTTCTGAAAAAAATATCATTCAAAATACAGTCACAACGCGCTCAACACACAAAACTGCTGCTTCTTCTACGTTCCACAAAATGTTGTGTAAGATTATGAACATATAACACATGTTTAATTTATTTTACTCTTTCAAATATTGTTACTTGCTTTTTTATGTTTGTATGGAGGTCAGCCTCTTTATAGAACACTTTACACTATTCATATTCTCAAACTTTTTATAATAGAGTAAATTTTGTTTATCTTGTACACTTATTTGCGAGCAAGTTGATGTATTGCGCTACCATAAGATCCTGCACTCAATTTATTTTTGTCCCTGCGAGCATTTTTATATTTAAAAAATTTTTCAACACAGGAATGTGAAATTTTCTCGTCTGAATGTGTTTCATGCTTACAGTTTCATGCTTAGCTAATATGGAACACAATTTTGATACTCATAAGTTGAAGTTAAGCCAGTGTCCCATATTACAAATGATTCGTTTCGCTAAAATACATCAATTAAATTTACGTCGATACGGCGCGGTTCAGCACATCGTAATCATCGCTGTTATAAGCTGAAGTCGCTGCTAGAAAAAATAAGACTCGTCTTATCGCCGAGTCTGTAGCCATCCAAACATCCTCGACGTTTTGTCTCGATACTAACGAGCAATCGTGTGTGTTTGCAGGCTGATAACCGTGGAGGAGGAGTTGCGTCGCGAGCAACAAAAGATGTCGGCAGCGTTGTCGTACAAGCAGCGCGTGATCGACGCGCAGGAGCAGCAGATAGCCGCCTTGGACGCGGCGAATTCGCGCCTCATGTCGTCGAATACAAGACTGTTGTCCGCATTAAGTACGCTGAGGGAGCGCTATCACGCCGGAAACAGCAGCAGCAGCAAATCAACTAACGGACCGAGCAACAACAACTCCACGACGAATGACTCGCAAGCTGAAGCAACTGTTACCTTGTTACAGAACATCGCCGATATCAATGAGCTTAAAAGCTCATCCTGTTGAACAACACACTCACACCAACACACGCACTCAAGTAGCCTTAGAATTTCGTGGGATTGTGGCGTCGATTTCAGCGAGTTTAATATCTGGTCGACCGAGAACTTCGTTCATTGTGTTTATTATATTGTACATTTTCACTGTCTCTTCACCTCTCTATCTCTGTCTCCATAGATTTATGATTTATCCATTGCCGCATATATTATTCGCTGTTCAGTAATTTATCGTTCGTTGTAATGGTTATTCTATGAGTATTTTAGATATAAGTTTTATAGCGATTAAGTGGAACAAGCCTTTACCGACTAGAAATTGAACTTAAGAGAATATCGACGATCGTGCGCGCGCTACGACGTTTTGATAAATAAAAATTGATTTGTTTTCTTTTCTCGATCAAGAACTGATGCGGATAACTTCGATGAACCGTTGTCGAACAATTAGACATAATTACTTATACTAAAATTATCTTTTTTATCGCCTATAAAAAAAACACAGCTCAGCTAGTTTATCAATAAAGTGCTATTTTAAAACGAGTAGTATGAAAAAGCAACATATAACGAATAAATTTGACACAATTTTATCGAAATGAAACCTTTCACATAAGCAATCGATCATCTCGAAGATTTATGGTCAGTTCTTGCTTTCGATTAGTTTGTTGTTTTTGGTAGTTGTATCAAAGAAGGTTAAGATGAACTTTAAACAAACTTGATTTATTGTTTTTTTTTTTTTTTTGACGATGTTGGAAAACAAAGGTTGAATTATGCAATAAAGAGGCGGATTTTGAATATTGAATAATGACATTTCTTCTGCTTCACGTGACGTTAACTGTTAGTCGTGTAAAGCAAGAAATTATAAAATCTTGATTTCCTTGTACGTATTGTGGAGTGTATCTGCAAAATTTTGCTCGTTGAATTGAAAAGATATGTTTATGCGCGCTGATTAGAGGCTACCTAGCAATTAGGCAGACAAAAACAGAGATATTTATCACTGCTACAATATAGCATGATTGAGTAGATTAATTTTTAAGTAGAACTACACTCGACTTTAATGTAAAAGTCTCTTTAAGATTAATGAATAACAATTAGCATATTTGATGGTATATCTGACGCAACGAGTTCAAATTATTGTGTACAGTTATTATTACTATTATATACGTACCCTTTTCTCTATTTTTCTTAAGCACCGATGAATTTGGATAATGGACGAATAGTTACTCTTTCTTTAGAGTATTACGTGACGATATGATTTTTACAATGTGTTTTTATACTGTACTTAGCGCATTTTCAACGCACAAACATGAGTCTCTAAATGATGCACGAAAGAATTATTATAATTTTTTTCGTGAAAAACATGTTACCTGATCGATCGGTTGCTTTCGATTTTTTTTCTATAATATTAATTGCACGCCATTCAGTATAGTGGAGCTTGCGCGGAACTGTTTTTTTTTTAATGTGTAGAGTGAAACTCGCACGAGGGCCCAGCAAATTTCGTTCGCTGAGTGTCCATGTAAAAAAGTACTCGGTATCTCAAAATGATAAGCCGTACTTTGTAAGCGATAAATATTTATTTAGTAGTTTTTACCAAAGAATACAAACACAAAAATAAAAAATATCTTTTCGCATTGTACAATCTTTACTCGGATTTTTTCCTGTAAAATAAATGTGTTCTTTCTTCTCTTTTCTTCTGTCTTGTAGCACGAGCGAAAAATATTTACAAAATAAAGGAACGAAGTGCGAATTGCGATGTGAAAGAATCGCATTGAACTTTTCTTGAAAAATCTCACGGATTTTCTGACGAATTTTCGATAAATCTAATATATACAATTTATTGATATACATGCGTTTCTTACACATAGCATTTTATATGGATGCACAGGGATGACAAACAAATAAATTAATAAAGAAATGTGCGTTTTTACACTCGCAACTAATGATGACGATTTGTGAAAAATAAACGTTGCGCACCACATGACAATTAAATGTTTATCCGCCTTTATACACGAGAGCGAGTTGCGTTTTTACATCACAATCATCGTAGAACTACAAGATAATGCATCATCCTAGATTTATAATACAATGTACGAGTGGATTTGCATGGATGAATTATGCAAGGAATATGACTGACTGAGAGATTTATAACGTAGTCTAATCCCGAAAAAAGTATTATTTCGTCAATATGTACAATTGAATTGTCATTGAGTCGAGATTGAGATGTTTATTGAAGATGAAAAATAAACTTTCTTTCTGTAAAAGTAATTATACTGTATAGGAATGATATTTTTGTTGTTTATTTCTTTTTTTATACTTTTTTTTTGTCGAGAGAATCGAATGATTATTGCTTTTTCGAGAGAAGGCATCTGCAAACATGAGATTAATATATATTTAACCACTTACTGCAATGAATGCTGTAACCGATAAAATGATTTTTGAAAAGAAATCTATTTATAAATTGAATATACAGCGTGTAAATTACCTAAGTTTCGTATATTTTTTCTGTACTAGAAAACTGTATTTAAGCGTATATGAAGCATTAGATCTATACAAACAAATAAACTTGATTAGATGCAAATTTGTTGTCTTCATTTTTATCCGTACCAATATTTTCTACAACAATTTTGAATTCTTATACATTATATTGCTTTATCAGTTATTTATGTAAATAAATATTTAGCTATATAGCCATTACACCGTTTATAAGTAGTATAACAACAAATTAAATCTAATATATATCAAGTAATTGTGAGTGGCATTTTACATTATTAAAAGTTATTTTTTTATAAGAGCGGTATGTCTTAATTTTACATTGAGTTAAAAATAAAAGCTCGCGCATATTCCCTACAGTCCATTCCTCGAGCTAAATAAATTTTGTAGATTCCTACAAAATAACTGATCATGGATAAGTTTATATTCCAATAGACGGTAGTGATAATAATGAAGAAATTTGATAGATAGCAGCTTAAATTTAATAAATAGTATCTATAGTCGCGATTAGAATTGTCTATTAGATATTAATCTTACAAAATAAAAAGTGTATAAACGAAGGCGTTCAAGTAATTGATAATACAAATGATTTATAAAGATATACGTAAATGATTCTAATTTGGATTGTTCATGTTGAAAATTTGTTGCTGTGGGTCAAGTTTCTCAGTAGATCAATTAAAAAAAATCTTATATTTCATTAAAAAAAAATAAAACGGAAAAATGATATTAATGAAAAAGAACTAATAAGCTAATAATTACGCAAATTTAATCACATTCTAATTTCACCTAATAGAACTATACATTTCTCTGATTTATAAAAAAACAACAAAATTGTTTATAAATAGCTTGGCGCTTGTTCTTAAAACTTCCAATTTTTCTTAATTGTAACGTACGGTAAATTATTGTATATTCATTTACTAGAGGAATTCTATGTTATATTTTTCATTTCATTTAACAGATATGCAATGTTAAGGTGATATATTGGTACATATACATATAAGTTCTCTATGTTGTCACGTAGTCTATTTAAGTTGTTAGTTTCGGTAATCTGGTATTATATACAGTCTTCCTGCACTTTTATTTATATTATGAATAACCTATTTTTCATTAGACGGATGCACTTTACTAAAATATTTCAAATTCTTTTATATGTATGAAGTCTCTATATAGTAGCTAGGCCGGTGTTACCGACGGCATCAAAGCACGCAACTACTAGGAGTACTTATACCAACGGTAGACAAAATCAAAAGTCCATTATATATAGGTATTGATTATGTTAGAGACCTTACCGGACAGGTATTTCTGGTGTATCTTCAGAAGGTGTACCTTTTCGATTGCTGTGAGAATATAAAATACAACACGTTTAACTATATAAGGATACAAGAATCGAACTTTTTTAATCTATATTCGCTTCGTTCGCCGCAATATCATATCGCCAAACTTACATATCGATTGTATTTATTTTCAAGAAAATTCGTATAATCTGCGTCGTAATTTGCTGCGTACTTCGCTCGTTCGATGATCTTTGTGAAGCAGAAGAGAGACGTTACACGGCGAAGAAGGAATAGCGTATCCTATTATGCGATGAAAGAATGCACGAGGGGAGTCTTTTTTTCTAATCAATCTAATCGGAACGAGTGACGATCAACGCTAGCCAACAATGAAAATCAATACTCGTGCGAGACCTGCCTTCCAATTACATTAGGCAGGATGTGAAAGGTCGACTGTGATCATCCTGCATTTCTTGGCTATTTATAAAAATTATTTAGGACATTTTTATTGGCATAAGAATAAGATTTTTCTTTAAGAATTTACATTCTAACGAATATTTAAATAAACTGATTGTACGCTGTTGCAATAATTGTGCCCGAAATTTGATAGTAGCGTCGCAGTTAATAATTTTTCTAACATATGTAATCTATATTCTGCAGACGCAGCACTTGTAAAAAAAGTCTAATGGTAATTTTCTAGAACGCTGTTCTTTTTTTCGTTTATCAAGAGGAAAAAAAATTGTTTTGTTGATTATGCCGGTTAATTTTTTAATCTTATCATTTTCTTCTCAGCTTTCACCGATGATAATGAACAAAGAGAGAAAGAGTAATTGACCAGCAGCGGAAGCGAATCCGTCTGTCAGTAAGATTTTACTGTGCATATCCTCGTAATAATAAAAAGCATAATATGCAAATAAAAAAGAGAATGCGAGCGGTCATAAAGTGTTTCGCACACGCATAGCCGCAAAGATAAATTCCACCTTAATCTCTGGCGCACTTTACGTACACCACGACCATCCGGTAGCAATCTTTTTTCGTACTCTGTGTTTTCTCTCCCTCCTTCGTTACCAAACTTCGATTTTTTTTTCTTCTTTCTCAAATCTCTTCCTCGACATTTCTTCTCTGTCGCTCGTCTTCTCGCTGCAGAAAGGGAAAAAGGTCGATGCACCTCGTCGATCCTTGCCGACTGCTGCGGTCGAGGTGCAGATATTCGGCTGCGTCGCTCTTTTCACTCACTCTCTCTCTGTCACTTCCGCAGCGGAACAGAGAGCTACGATGACAGCATTTTATTTTCGGCTACGCTATATTCGACAGAAGCGCCGCTCGCTTATTGACGCGTTAATCGCTCGCTTTCTAAATGTGAACTTGGCTTCTGGCGATCTTGATTCTTTCATTCTCTCTCAGATAAGAGGCGACGCACATGTCGTTGAACTTTTCAAGCTTCTTCGATTGTCTCTTGTATGATGCAATTATGGTCGTGTACGATGGTCGCAAGTATATTATTATTAGTGAGAATCGAGGAAAATTAATTTCACGATAATCTTATCAATAATATGTAAAATGACTGGATAATACAAACGTTTTACCGCACAGAAAATATTTGCTTCTTTTTTTTTCTTAATTACACGATATTTTATAATGCGTTGTGTAAAACACGACTTTTTTTTCTTTTTTCATATATTAATAGTACATATCCAATGTACGCATCTAGTAGATGCATTCCAAGGAAATTTCGATTATAGAGAACATTGGTGCAACGTACATTCGAATATTCTTTTACTGGATTGTGATGAAAATGAATTTTTTTAAGGGTCCGCAATGCTTTCGTAAAACTACCGTATTATATTAAATGAGTTCGAAAAATCCTTGCCTATTTTTGTTCATCAAAAAACTATGAAATAACGAAGGTGAATGACAATGACAGGGCGTTGAACGAAGAAATGTGTGTATGTGCGCGCGCGCGCGTATACTTGCAGAGCGGATCGATTAAAAAGAAATTTGAAGGGGTCATTGAGACTACGAAGCGCGCTAATGTACGTACACGCGCGAGCGTTCATGACGTTTGATATCTAAAACGAACGAGGCGCGTAAGAAGAAAAGAGAGGGAGAGAGAGAGAGAAAGAACGAGACTGTGGTAGCGACCTTGCGCGCAATGTCGCGGTCCTGGTGCTATTATCGCGTGATAATGACATTCTAACATTCGAAAACAACTTCTTGTAGAGACTTCGGACCGACGCTCGATGACTTAGACCTACTTTGGCTGCGAGATTTTTGACTCTCGATGCGCATTTGTGCCGAGCATTTATCATAGTTTAATGCCCGTGTGCTTGTTATAGATGGTTTTTAACCGAATGGTTTTTTTTTCGATGAACCTGATCTAATTGAAAGATTGTTTAAACAATCACTGTTTAAATAGCGTGCTGAATGAAATTCATCCTCAGAGCATTCACCTATTTGAAAACTAATCATTCAGAAATAATCTGAAACGCGTGCAAATCGATAAAGAACAAAAAAAAAAGAAATAAAAAGAAATTACAGTATTATCATTTCTTCAAAAAAGCAGATAAGGACTCTCTTTACATAGCTTTGAGTCAACAACGTAGGTGATTTCGAGGCAAATTTAGATATTCCGGTAATTCGAAAGGCGATGTGTCTCGTGAAAACTCCGAGGATGAACGTGGCCGAGCCGGCGAAGGAAAGTACACGAGCAAAAGAAAAAGCTGCGATAATAATCGCGGACTCGCCAGTCGACAGCAACAAGTGCGTTCCTGCCTGCAATAGACACAATCATCATCATGCCTACGCCCACGAAAGGCAATACACGTAGCGAGTCATCGAGCGAAAGAGAAGACGACTGCTCGTGTGATAAGGTGAGCACATATACGGCGAGAAACAAGTTGCTGATAACGAACGATAGCAGCTAGCACCAGCAAAGCTCCTCCAAGATATCTCAAAGTCAATGTCCTACAAAGCGCTGCTCTCTGCTTCTTCTGTTCTTCTATCCCAAACGCGATGTTTGAATTTCGAAGACTCCGGAAGCAGGGGCTTCGTTTGTTCCGCCCAATATAATAGAATCGGCAGCGCGCGCGCGCGCCCCTGTAAAAAAAGCACGAGAGAACAAATGTCGTTTCTTCGCATTCTCATTGAAATCGTCGACGATATCTCTGTTGCCACCAACGAGGAATCTCATCAATGGCAATGGCGCGCAATTGTTTATTCTGTCCCATTGCCGCAAAAACGAGTTTTAGGAAATAGATACCACCTATTGATGTCGTTCCGGCATTGGCCCAAGTGAACGTTGAACTTGATAACGATGAAAAGCTGCAACGAGAGGTGCACTTCTCGATTTATCGTCGCAGCGTTTGTCACCGCGGGACATTAATTATGTAACCGATAAGGGTATAATGACCCGAAAAAAAAAAAAATAAATAAAAAAAAAATACAGAGGCGCGACTTTGAGAGCAATGCAGCGGCCAGGCGTTGACCTCAAAAAGAAAAGAGACGTTTCTCGTTTCCCCCTCATCGGGCAGAAGCGTCACAAGGACGTGGCCGAGAGAGCCCTCGCGTGACCCTTTTTTTTGCGCATTACGTCTGTTTAGATTGCTTGCCGTGTATTTTTGGAGTTGGCTTCCTGATTACTCGTCGTTTGGCAGTGCCATTTTTCTTCACTTTTTCGGAAGATTACGTTTTATCATTTTTCGAAAAATGAATTGCGAAATGGCTTTTCTCGAATGGAAATGAAGCTCAGAATAACTCATTCGTTCACTCTTCGGAAGGAATTGGGTGGCTCGGTGTTCGTTGCGACGGGCGC